CAATCAGTGTCTATAACAAACCCATCAGTGATTTTTCCATTGCTAATAATAGTGTTCTTTTATTCCTAAGTAAGCCTTACAAACTAGATCAGTTTTATGAACATTTTAATTGACACAATATATGAGCAGAATTATAGGGAGATAAAACCAGTGGTGCATGAGAAGCCCATGTTGGCATTTTTGATCCTCTCCACTGGTTTCAGAACTAGCACAGTGACCTACAGATCTTGTGGCTGATTTAGTACTTTTCTGTATCTTGTACAGAGGTGGATTTGAAGCTGTACAGATGCAGATAGATAACTCAACAAGATGTCCATAACAAAGAACATTTATTGGTTCATCAGGTATCCTCATAACTCATGATTGTGATGAAGTTCTTCTTTACTGACCAATCCCTTTGTATATCTGCCTTGTAGTAAAAGGTGGTTATCTCCTAACCCATCTTGTAGAGATAGAAAGAAGCTGCCATGAGTAAGAGAGTTCAGACAAAGAGTGAGGAAAACTCCCCCAACCCATCGAGGGTCAAACTAGTGACCAATCAGGATTACAGATGTGGTTACGTGACATGGACTACATTTCCCAGGATACCTTTAACTACATTTACCAAGATGCATTCCCTTAAGGGGACAGCTCATAATTCCTAAGTAACTATCCAATTCCCACAGACTGGCTGAGACAGCACAAGTACACATGGATGGGATCTACTTGCCTAGTTCCAAATCAAGACCAGGGGATGTTCTGGTGATACTGCAAATTTTTCATCACCTACAAAGTTATTGCAACTATTATTTAGTGTCTGTGCTATGGAGATTCTCAGTTATCCAGGTCATGGTTGTCCCAAAGGTGTTTTTTTCAAGAGGCAACTGAGCTCAGAGCTGAAGAAGCTTCTTGCATAAGAAGCAGAATGTCTTCAAAGTAAACCAGAAAGTCCAGTTGCCTCTTGAAAAACCACCTTTGGGACTACAAAGTTATTGTTAAACACCCTCTTAACAATAGATCTCACAGCAGAGATAGGAACACAGTTATATAACCTTGTACCAATTTTGTTTCCATATATATTTGGATAACACTGTTCCAGTATTTAAGAGTATTAGACACAATATTTGAGGTTCATTCATTTGCTGATCTTTCAACGTCACATACTATATGCAATTGACTGTCAATACCTTCTACAAACTCTGTAAGACATGTACACCAGTACTATGCAAAAAAGAAATGGATGCAAAGTTAAAATAAAAAAATGGTGATATTAGAAGAACCAATGAGGAGTATATCTCCTGCCCATGAAATTCTACTGTTGAACTGAACCTTCCTATTTTCATAGAACTTGAAAGTGAGACTGTAATACAATTAAAAAATGGACGTTTATTATCCATGACTTGGATCAGAGATATGTTAGCATACCACACTTCTTGTTTAACTTACCAACAGCAGGATATTTGTGATATTGCTAACACTACTTTATAACTCATCCCTGTTAATGAAGTCATTATCATTGCCCACCCTTTCTTCATTTCATTTCTCATTGGCATGTCAGTCATGTTAATAAACCTGCAAGTTAAGATAAGCTGATGCATCTAATGAGGTGGACTCTTGCTGAAAGCTCTTTGTGTCATAATAAAACTCCTTATCTTTATGAAATGGGTTATAGGTTACAAAATATTATGTCACAATCAATTCATTAAATTATAAGTGAAGGCTTGTCTGACATGTTCATTCCTGCTTTGTTCTTGCTCCAGGCTTGGGCCCCTTTTATCTATCTGTTGCCTTGGTTGCAGCTCTTCCATCTGCCCCTTAAGGCTATTTCCATTGCCCTCTACATCCTGTAAATGAAGAGGGTCTGGAACAGAAGCTGACAGAAGTCCAAATTTACAACTTCCACTGTAAGCCATCACCTCTATCCCCCTTGCATGAGGGCGGTAACTCTGACGCCCCATTTTGTTGCAGAATTGTAATAAGGAGAACGCTGTGAGGGCAGAGATTTTCACAATTACAGCACATACCTCTATTCTATCTTGGAGTCTAAAGGAAAAACTCATCCACTGGACTTATATTACTCAGTTTGGGGAAGACAAGTCCTACGTAGAACTTCATGAAAGCAGGCAATGTGGTATCTGTTAGATAGCCTGAGATTCTTGAAAGTTTCAACAAATCATTACAAAAGGCAAAGGCACATATGCATTGCTTTACAATCTACATCCATTGCAGTCTTTTTTTGAAGGCACCAAGGGATATTCATAACAGATACTGTAGGTAACAACAAGCATTCTGGAGTTTCCTTTCCGTTAGGGATCAACCTGAAGTTTCAGATTTTCCAGCTGAGAGAATCTTTACCAGGCTGATCTTCAGCCTGTAGAACAGGAATTGGCTGAAAAGAGCACACCTGATAAGATGCAGGTGCAGGATGAATCAGTCGTCCCAGAGCCATTGGCTCTGCAGCACATGGAGGTGAGCAAAGGAACTTGAGTCACCTCTATGCAACCTCTTTGATTCAGAAAATTAGGCAAGCTGGTTGGAAAGGCTACATCAAGGGTGTCAAACTTGCATCGTTATGGCGTTGTCACGTGACGTATTGCAACTCCCCCCTTGACTAAACCAGGCGTGGGAGTGGCCAGTGCGTGACACATCTAGCCTGCAGGTTGCGAGTTTGACATCCCTGGGCTACATCAATGAAATTGCTACTTGAGCAGTTCTTTGAGGCCATCAATCTTGATAGCTATAGCACTTAGACTTATCTACTGCTTCACAATGCTTTACTGCCTCTCTAAGCAGTTTACAGAATCAGCATTTATGAAATTTACCAACTATACAAAATTCCAATTTTCTATTGTAACTAGACTATTTCTGGATCCTTTGTAAACTGGCATTGTCTCTTTGAACTATCTGGAAAAAAAGCTTTTGTATTGTCAATCCTTAAGTAGAATGTTTGCAGCTTGCAATTTGTTTATGTTATTACAGTTTAGGATTTATGACTTCAATAAATACTTTGAGTTTGTTGCTGGCTGTGTGTGCATAATTGGCAGCACAGAGCAGCCTCTGAAAGTGGATGATTTCTTATAAGAACCCTCTCTTTCTCAAGAAATGAGATAAAAGGATAGATACAGCCTTAATAATAGACATAGATTTGTTTTCATCTCTTTCTCTCTGATGAATTTTTATGCTAAGCTGATTTATTCTCTGGGACATAGCCAGGCTCCATGGTCACATTCAACATTTTCAGAATAAGTTGTGACCATCCACATTTAATTCTTACCTCGGGAAGGTCTTGCCAATCCTCAAATGGCAATTGTAGTTGGTTAGCACAGTTTTTTTAAAAAAATCCTTAGTGTTAAACTGGTTGACCTCTGCCATAACACTCATAGCAATATCACTGAGACTTATATACTGCTTCACTATTCTCCCCTCACTGAGAGGTTTACAGAGTCAGCATATTGACCCCAACAATCTGGGTCCTCATTTTACCGACCTTGGAAAGATAGAAGGCTGAGTCAACCTTGAGCCTGGTGAGAATTGTACTGATGAACTGCTGGCAGTCGGCAGTCAGCACAAGTACCCTGTAGTACTGCATTCTAATCATTGTGCCACCATGGCCCATAGGGTAGCCATCATTAACTTCTAGCTTTTCTTATGGTTATGTTGATAAAAATGGAGAAAACAAAACCTGAGATGCAGTCACTCAATATTTTTATGGGAAAATAAAGTTGATATCTAAAGACATATTTACCAACCAAGATGGCTTGGATACTTGGTTTTACAACATAGCTAGTTCTTGATTTTTTAAAAAGAAATCTCAATGATTTTTAAGACTACAAAGGATTTAATTGGGTTCAATTTGGAAGTCCAGGATGAGGCAATTAAAATATTAATTCCATACTGGTATTTGGCTTGTGATACACTGGTAATTGGCAGTGACAGTCCAGACAATTTAGCAGGGACAGGATTTATGGAAAGATAATATATTTTGATTATTGTAGATGGCATATTTCCATAAATAATCATGCTTTTTGTGCATTGGTCAGTATTATGATAGACTGGGTTGGACTATTATGATTATTATGATTGTTATTACTATTATGATTATTATGATTGTTATTACTATTATGATTATTATGTTTGTTATGATTGTTATGATTATTATTGCCCAGGATTAGTAATGATTTCTTAGATTTATATCTCACTTGGAAACTTCTCTCCTCTCTTCAGTCATCTATGGGAATGTCCTTGGTTCTCAGGGGAAACTTTTTTGTTTTGACTACAAAACCCCAGCTATCTCTATTCCGCATTGCCTACCCCTCAGCATCAAAGCAGCAACACTGAAGCCTCCAAGATGGCCTCAGTCAGGCCAGCTTCAGAGTTAACAGCAAGAGCCAGAAAGAGAGCACAGAAGGCTTAGCTGATTAGCAAAGGAACCTCAGAGGGAGTCCCAGCAAATAGCCACCTTGTGAAAGGATCAGGACAAAGGGTGTCACCCTCAGTGAAAACTAAGTGCTAAGGAAGCATCTGATTCAATTCTTCTTCCTCTCCTGGAGAGGGGGAGTGAAAAATGTTCCTGTTGCCATAGCGGAAACCCATTCAGTTTTATCAATTTTCAGGGATTCCCAGGATGCTCGACTCAAAGGTCTGAATTGGGACAGATACATGATAGATGAAATGCACGATCTGTGCACCGAGTTTTTCTGCATACATTTAATTATTTTAGGATGAAAGATTAGTGGTCTGCAGCTAAGGACTTACTCATTTCACGTCTGATAAAAATCACCTAAACCGTTATCTGGATTATGATGAATTTTGCAGTACAATAGCAAGTATTTTCCCCCTCTTTTTAAAACAAAAAACAAGGCTGTTCGTTTGAGTCTCCAAACCTGCTTTCTTCCCATTCAATCTTATGTCAGTGTAAATTTTTTTCTCCATTACTTTTTCCTGCCTCAAAATCAATGATCCACTAACCAGGAGTGTACAGAAAGAGAGCCTCGAAATATTACTATTGGAATATGTTTTACCTGATTAGTCTTACTGCCGTGAAATGAAAATATTGATCCACCTGTCATTTTAAAATCCTAACGTCTCGCAGGGGTCACCTTTGGAGTGACTGCAGCAGGGAGTAAAGAGAAAGTAGGAAAGTCGGAATATTTGTATGAGGGTTTTCAAAGTGGAATGTCATTAGCCTTTCCCTCAGGACAAAGAAAATATCAAGAACACCTTCTGCATATTTCGCAGACCTTACAATCATGTCTGAAACAAAATGGATTGATTTGGGATACAAGGAGTCCTTGAGTTACAACCACTCATTCAGTGACCGTTTGGAGTTACAACAGCACTGACAAAAAGGATTTATGAGCATTTTTCACACTTCAACTGTTGCGACATCCCCATGGCCATAGGGTCAAAATTCAGATATTTGACAACTGGCATTTATTTATGACATTGGTTGCAGTGTCCTGGGGTCACATGATCACCTTTTGCAACTCTTTGGCAAGCCAGTCAACGAGGAAGCCAGATTCCCTTAAGAACAGTGTCACTAATTTAACAGCTGCAGTGATTCAATTAACAATTGTGGCAAGAAAGGTTGTAAAATGGGGCAAAATTCACTTAACAACTGTCTTGCTTAGCAATGGAAATTTTGGGCTTGATTATAGTATAGTTTTTCCATAAAAAAATGGAAAAACAAACAGATTTTATGATGAACCAGGAAAAAGAATAGAGGACTTCAATATTTCAGTATTTTAGTGATGAATAAGAAGTTTAGAGCTGCATTCTACAAACTCACCCTTCGAGATCATTTGGGGATCATTTTGGGGATCATGGTAAAAAAGGAAGCTCCTCACCACCACCACCACAAAAAAGTTTGGGAAGAAGACGATATTAGATGTAGAAAATAGCAGAAGGAAGATGGAAGTGAAATAAAAGCATCTGTTGTTTTTCAGAGGAAGCCAGTCTTTCTCTGCTATGTAGATTGTTCTTCTTATACAAAAGAACCTCCAAGGTACACAGACAAAAGAGACTGACTTTGGGAAAGGTTTACTCACATTAAATCCTTTTTTCTTCCCTATCTACCTACATGAAGTGTTTGTCATCATCATCATCAACAACAACAACAACATCATCGCTGTGTATGGGTTGGCAGTTAAATTTAAGCCATAGCATCATTGTGGCTCTTCTGGAGTTGGCTTCTGCTGACACAAAACTAAATACATGGCTTGAAGCATCATGAACACAATGTTGTAGTTTTAATGTCCCAAACAATGAAATGAACATTTGAAACCTTGCAGTCATTGCAGTAGGGAAAAAAATGAGAATTGAATATATGCCATCTATTGTAATAACAAGAAGGAAGGAAGGTACACATAACAGACAATCAGAGTTGGAAGGGACCTTGTAGGTCATCTAGTCCAACAGCGGGAGACCCTACACCAGTGGTTCCCAACCTTTTTTTCACCCCGCACCCCTAAAGAAATTTCACTCGAACCTCGCACCCCCTGAAATTTAGACTTAAACTCTAAAATGAAAACAAAGTTAATCTATTGCATAATAAATAAAAATGCCAACATATAGCCAATATCCTATTATTTTCCTGGACTTTTCTCGCACCCCCTGGAATATTGTCTCGCACCCCCAGGGGGTATGAGCACCCCAGGTTGGGAACCCCTGCCCTACACCATTTCTGACAGATGGCAGGAAGGAAAGAAGGAAGGAAGGAAGGCACTGCTGCATATTTCCATAGAGATAATCTTCCTTACTTTCTATACCAGGGATGTCAAACTCAAGGCCCGCGGGCCAGATCCAGCCCACCAGGGGCCACCCTGAAAACAACAAAGGACTGGCCAGCAGTGCTAGTCTCCGTGCATGGTTCCCCAAGCTCCATTTTTGCTGGCAGAGGGCTAGCACAACAAACTAAAAACAAAACAAAACAAAACAAGAAAGGTCTTCCCCTTTTGCATTTGAGCATGAAAGAAGGGACAGGAAAGGAGAAAGGAAAAGAAAAAGAAGAAGGGATGGGAAGAGGGCAAGCAAGGAAAAATAATGAAAGAGGGGAAGGAAGAAGAAAGAAGGAAGAGGGAAGGAAAAAGGAGAGAAGGAAAGAAGAAAGGAAGAGATATAATGTGAGGGAGCATCTAAGGGAAGTCCCGCCTTAGTGCTTGGCCACCACAGGTGCCCCTGACACGACTTGAGCTGGGCACTTCCATCCTCGCCATGCTCCCCACCCTTCCGAGGTCAAATACAACCCTGATGCAGCCCTCAATGAAATCGAGTTTGATTTATATATGCTCTATATTGATGGGTCTCCTACCCACTTACCCCAGGTATGAGGTGATCCCTGCTTTGCTTTGGATTGACACTGTGCCTTGACTTGGACTTATTTTCATTGGGAAACCTTAAAGGGTCTTGTGGACTCATTGGCCATTGCTCTATGAACTAGCATTGGTCTGCTTGTGGCTGGACTTAATAGTTCTGGGTTTTTGGTGCAGGGAGTTGCAGGGGAATTATAATAAATCCACTAAACTACAGGGGTGTGTGTGTGTGTGTGGGTGGGTGAGAGAGAGAGAGTGAGTGTGAGAAGGACAGCAATGCAGTGACCAGTACTGAATATACATTAAATAAGAGTTTACAGTAGTAGCCAAAATTGTGGAAACCTTTTGGGAAAAGTGTATTTTTAAGGTTTGATGGCTAATAACACCACATTTTTTGCGGGGTGGGAGTAGTACCATAAATCAATGGAAAGATAATTTAATCAAGAATGTAATGCAATAAAGTTTGTTCAATTATCTGTATTCTATGGAAACTTCTAGCCAAATAACCAGAAAAAGGAAGTACAACTTGCTTAGGTTGATATCAGGCAGCTTTCCTTTATCTGAGTGTAGCCAATGAGTGTTTAGAGAGCCAATGGCGTGTCATCTTGTTTTGGTAATGACCCAATCAGATCACAATAGGATTCAGTTATTGATGTCATGTATTGAAGCTGAGAGGAGGACATTTGTCAGTGTGTTATGTGATCGCTATCAAGTTGGTTGTTTTTTTTGGTGTGTGCTCTTTCATTTAGTGAGCTTGCAAAACATAATAAAATTAAAGTAATGGTGCAAAGAGTTGACTGTTTGCCCAGAAAGTGATGTAAAATAGTAATATTAAGTGACCAAGGCTACAGCGATAAAGAAATTAGAAGAAAAATTGGTAGAAACTTAACCAAAGGTGGCATTTAGTTTTTGAAAAGGTATAAAGAGACTCAGTCACTACAAAACCACACTGGAAAAGGCAGGAAAAGGTACACAACCACAAGTGATGATAGAAGAATTAAGAGACTGTGCCTACATGACAGAAGAAAATCATCTGGATGTATACAAGATGAAATGGTGCAATGCAATGTGAAGTTGAGTGCAAGGACTGTTCGGCACAGACTGCAGGAATTTGGCCTAAAATCTAGAATTCCACGAAAAAAAACCCACTTTTATCTCTCATACAAAAGTCGAAAAGAGTAAACTGGGCTAAAACCCATGTTACCTGGACAGAGGAACAATGGGACAGTGTTATTTGGAATGATGAGACCAAGATCTCACTGTTTGATAGTGACGGCATAAAAATCCACTTTTCCCAAAAGGTTTCCACAATTTTGGCCACTACTGTATCATATTTTACAGTCTCATAAACATTTTCTTAGATGTCAGCCTGCAATTGCAGCTCTTTTAAATGTACTTATTTCCATTTTTCAGATACTACTTGCATGGAGTGAATTAAGAGGCAATTTTTGCCTCACGTTGCAGTCATTCTGTTTTTGTTTTGTCATTTCTACAGGCAATCTGTATTGGGCCCATATCTCTTTATTTTGTAGCTAGTTCCAATTCCCAACTAAAATGCAATTTGCAGCTCTGGCAGACTTCAAACTAAGGACAAAAGAGATGGGTAGAAATAACTCTGTGATCTTTAAGCATTTTCTTTTGTTTCATGACTGTAGAGAAAAATAGCTTTTCTCCCAAAGAAGTCTCAGCTGGCCATTTTACACCAGACCTTAAATCCCTCCTAAGTCCAAATCTATGAACCATTTTGTGGCAATCTGTTATTAACACTAAGGGCTCTTTGAAAATCCAAACTTATTTACTGATACAACCACAACACTTAGCCTATTATTGAATTTTTAATTAACAAATCATTATAATTCCACAGTTGCAGCAAATGAGAATAAACTGCAGTGTATGATGAAAAGGAAAGTACTTAAATGTTCATTAAAGGAAATCCTAAAACCCAATTCAAAAGTATTTGGGGGGACTTCCGGTGACGAGATATGGGCAAACGGAGGTGCTGAAGCTCGCTCTGGGTTTCATGCTATCTCCTCTTGCTGTTGGAGTGACCCTTAGGGGTGCGCGCATCTTGCAGAGAAGTGCGCCAGTGAGGGGAGACTCAAGTCATGGTGTGGAAAAGGCGATTCTCATCGCAACGTACAGAAACCCTGTGGAGACCGACAACAAGAGACTGTCAGCAATGGCAGTCCTAAAGCCTTGATTGTTGCAAACAAGAGGAAGCGAGTGAGTGACAGACTGTGGTGAACGAAGAGTGTGAGTGAAAGAATTTGCGATCCTGATTGAGCATTGAATATTGGAGTATCTTAGTCGGAGCGAAGCCCGAAAATAGCAGCCAAAGCAGATACGAGTGGCGGCGAAAGCGAAAGGGTTCATGAGACGGAAGAGGGTAAGGACGCGAGCGATCAGACAGAGAAGATAAGAGAATCGGAGGGATCTGAGAGACTGATAATAATTGTGGGAGAGAAAAGAAGAAGAAAGAACAATAATTTAATTTAAGGGAACTTTGAAGGACTTGAATTGTTGGCTTTGGGGAAAATTGGAAGGACGAACTTGAGATGGGGGGAGACTTGAAGTAAGGAATTAAATTACAACTTTAAATATTCCACGAGCGAAATTGAATAATTTACTAGTCTCCTTTTGGATTATTGGACTGGAGCTGTAGTAAGTGGAGAAGATTTATTAAAGAAAAAGACTATTTGAATCTAAAAATTGACTTGTTAAACTTTCAAACGAAAGGAGAAACGACTACAGCGGAAAGTGTGGTGAGATAGTGAAATCAGAGACATTACTTAGCAACTCT